TAGCTATCTGTCCAAAATTCATATAATCATCACTCACGTATTTAAATTTTGTTTTGATAACCATTCATCTGTATTAGTAGTATTACTAAATTCTATCACGGTCAAGTAAAAATGAGGTTGAGAAAATCTCCCCGTAACCACTAAACCGTATCAAACTAACTGGAACACTAGTTGGAAATCTCCACGGTAATATTTTTGTTCATTCAGTTAGCCTACTAATACAGATGCAATTGGAATTCAACTCATATGGACAACTTACCGGCATAATCGTTATTTGATTTCATAATGTCGACCAAAGCTAATACCAATATTAACATTTCTACAATATTCATCACTTTCATATTTCTAAACACAAAATACTTACTACCTATACGTTAAGTTATTAACCAACGGCTATTAACACGCATCGTTTTATTATTATTGTAACCCCATTTTTTATAGCTCAAATAATCTTCACTCAAATTTTCATTTCAAGCGTTTTAAGGCAGATATTTTAAAATTATTACATGTATTTCCCGACCAGATGCTGCCGCTTTCTTTCTGATTTATCTTTCAGCTTACCAATACCCGGAGGATTCTTATTATCCTTGGTAACCTCCGGTGCGCGACGATCCCATCCAATTTGGTATCGAAACAACATCACGTTGATTCTGGTGGGAGAGTAGTGTAGTGGCATTGGACAATAACCACACAATCCACAAAGCTGTGAACACGAGACTACTCAGAAAATAGATATTCAATATTTAACGCGGAGAAATACCTAACAATGGAAAAAACGCGAACAATGGATTGAATGGACTGGAGTTGATCGGATGGCATGGCTCAACCATGCAGGTGTGGTTCATCTGAATGTTACCTTATATCTTCTATTCATATTAAATATATTGTTCTTTCTCTAGCCTAACCTTGTTCTACATCATGTATTGGTAGTTGATACGATACAGTGAGTTGGTGTAGTCGATGGTGTGACTTCCACGCAAGATCTTATAGATTAGGCAGTTATATCATGACAGACCTACAAATTTAGGATTAGGTCTATTATAAGAGCAGTACTAATATCATAGTAGACCATAGTTCTACAGGCGTATGAAATTCTGGCTGCTTTTCTAGAGACTTTATAAGCAATCACCCAAATTATCCTGTAGAATTCTGGTCCACTTCGTTATAAGTACTATATTGGCAATAGAACTGTCCCTAAATTGTAGATTTGTCATGATTTGACTGCCTAATCTATAAGATCTTACGTAGACGCCATACAAATCTCTTCATTGGTAACAGTTAACAACATGCCCGGAGTTTCTAATGAACACGTTTAGGTTGGATATAGGGCAATATATTTTATGTGATTAATGACAAGTTATACAGGATGACCACGTCTGCAAGGCTGAGCCATGCCATCAGGTGAATTGAAATAATGTTCCCGCGTTCTCCATTGTTAGTGTTGTCTTCGTGTCAATTGTTGAATATAATTTTTTTCTTTAATTATATGCTTGGTTTCAAAAGTCGTGTGGTTAGGGGCCGATGCCACTACAATTCTCCAGTTAATCCAGCTAGATGTTAAGAACAATATCTTTGATTTATATTATTGAATGGAATCTAAGATGGGTATTTATTGTGGGAGATGAGCAACTGATCTATACGCAAACTTAATTCAGTGTGAGTTATCTACGGAAGTAGCATAGCTAGTGTACGAATTAGTTGCCGTAACAAACCACAAGTTCGATAAGATATCGAATTCAAAATTAAAATAAGATTATTTATTTTGCAAAACCCTGATGTTTAATTGTACTCAAGAAATAAAAATCTTCATATAACTATTAACTTCGTTAGGGCCATTGTGAACAGATGAAGACACTGGCGCACGTAGATGGATATTAATGATCCGAAACCTAGACCAAAGAAATCAATTAGTCTACAACAGCCATCCGCAAAATAATTGTATATTTTACCAAGAATTCAATGTAAAATCAAAGCTGTGGGACGCTCCAATTATGCAAAGTAATATTGTACCTGTACAATTACGGTCTAGGTTCGTTATTAGTACTGCTACTGGTAGACCCAATCCTAAAATTGTAGATTTGTCACGATGTGACTACCTAGTCTATGTAATCCGACGTAAAAATCATATCACTGTCTACCCTTACGCATCGTATCCTAAGAATCCTCTTAGGCCACTGATATCCATGGTTTTGGTATGAATGTCTGAAACGTAGATTAAAGTTCACAAGCAGACCAACAAAACATAAATGAAATGCTTTAATACGCAGAAAACAACCATAACCAACACAAATGGTTCATCAAGCACAAGAACAGTCAAAGACTTTATCAAAAAAGACATAGGCCTTGAGAATCCCAAGAAGACGGAAAATTTCCGTAGGAAATCGACGGCCACTCCCCTACACACTGTTTACTGTTAATGAGAGAGACTGTGAATGACTGTTGGAAGAGGTATTGATAACGATGTAGGCTCCAGTAAAAAATGCACTGACAAGAACTCTGCGTCATGCCCGATAACCCTGTTTGATGTTCTAATATCAGATGGTAGTTAACTGGAAAACGTGAAACGATTGGCATGCAAGAGTAGAGTAATATTGCATCATGATTGGTTTGGTACCATCTCATGAAATCTGTGTCGCTTGTACAGATGCGGAACCAGAGCGAAAAATAAGCTCCTTCTCCTTAGGATGAACTTCATCTCTGAAGATATACAGAAAAATGCCTTCATGATAACTCCGAGACTAGCAGTTCAGCGGTTCTGTGACATCAAAGGTGAACATAATAAACCTTATTTCATAAGGGCTTGTAGTGACTCACGTTTATCACGAGAACACGATTGGTTTAATAAAAACAATTATTATTATAACCAACTGTGCCAGTGTTTGTTGTAATGTGCTTTTGTTTGACTGTGCTAATGACAGCTATTTGGTGCTTCCATTCTTTTACTTACACTTTTGATTGTGACTTGGCACGAATTCGGTTACGTTCTGTAACCAAGCTTGTATCCTGGCACGATCTCGGTATCCTTTCGATGCCACGAGATCGCCAGGAAATAAACCTCGATTTGGTCCATTAATTGCCTTCTGATATTTGGCATCTCGAGGATTTCATGAATTTATTCGGTTACGTTCAACCTTCGCCTTCTGATTTATTTGGCACGTGTTTTTTGGTAGCAGTGTTCATAATTAACCTCAACTCGACACCACGCTACAGACTCAAGAAAACAGATGGCGAGCCGTAGAAAACCAGTCGTTTGCTCATCGTGCATTTTGATCGAGACGATGTACTTGAGGCTCCTAGAACCTTGGACATGGAAAAGTCAGAAAGACAGAATGAACTACTGTATTTTGTCTAGATCATCGATTGTATGAAGTATACGTATCCAAAATTCATCCATGTACTTGACTCATTTAGTTCTTCTATTGACGAACGCAATTTAAATCGATGATTATATACGAGAACTAGCGATATGTATATTTCAATCACAACCAAACATATGATATAACTGAGGTCAGATCTCCTGCCAAGAAAACTTCCATCGAACATCAGTGGATGTTGTCTACATAGACTTCTGCAAAGCATTTGATAAGGTTCGAACAAATAAACTGCTCTTGAAGCTGGAAAATCTAGGCGTCGCCGGACCTTTCATAAAATGGCTTAAAAATTTTCTGGTAGGTGGTAAACAGAAAGTAAGAATAAATTCTAAGTGTTTCACCAATGTCGAACACTTACAGAGCTATTTATTTTGAGGATTTATTTACCGCTACAACCCAATTTTACTATATGCTGATGGTGTGAAAATCAGGCTATAAACGACTAGAGACGCAGATGTACGAGCACTTCAAGCAGATTTATATATTGTAATAAGATGATTTAAAGAAAGACTGATGACTACGAACGCGGCAAAATGTGTTTATATGCACTTTGGGGATACAATGGTAAATAGTCACAGCACAGGGGAAGTGTCTTTACTTGTGGTCTTGTCTAACGAAGACCTTCGGCTGACAGAGAGTCTTTATTTTAAAACCACGGCCCACTGTCGGGAAGCTGCAGTTGAGGAGTTAAGAAATCTGTGGGCTTTAGAACAGACATTCATCAAGTTAGATATTACCATGTTCACTACCGTGAACACAAACTTCTCAAGCCTTAGCTTGAGAATCGCATTCAGGACGCAAGCTCCTTCTTTAAAGGTTAGTCCGGTATACTGGAAAGAGTATAGGGGGCAGATGCCTGCGCAATTCCAGAACTATGGGGTTAACCACACAAATAGCGGCTTGAAAAGCTAGACCTACTTACTCCTATCGTAGATTTAGAGGTGATCTGATTGTTATATAGAATACTGAGAAATGATTTTGAACCCATTATGTCTTCTATTTTTCTTTCCACTAGATAGAGACACCTCAGACGATATAGCAGGCGAGTGGAAGAGTCAAGAACGAACAAAGTACACGAGGCATAGTGGTTTTCACATTGCGTCATCATTTCTTGGAATCTGTTACCCGAAGTGGCGGCGCTCGCACCTTCACTTGACTCATTCAAAAGAAGGCTAGACACTCACGGAAGTTTGCTAGAAAAGAAATAACAGAGGCCATAGGCCTTCTGTATTTACTACACAAATTTTAATCTGCTTCTTAGATATTGGGTACTGAACACTCATAATTTCAAGGTCAGTCCGAGGCTACCTTGTTTTTTCTATTTTTTGGATATCGTTTATGTCCTGTAAAACACGTTATTAGAAAGCTTGCTTATATTTGACTTTTTATTTGTAAGATTGCATTGCACCTCGGCTTCTTTATTTTCTCCGTTTTATATGATATCTTATTGAGCCTGGTCACTCGATCGAATTCGATCTCGAGATATTTGAGAAAACTAACACTTGTTCTTCTCTTTCAGATTTTTCTATTGCCTAGTTGGTAATTGCTCTCTGAACAATTCACTCGTATTTCCCATACGACGTACTTGCTAACATAGCCTAACTAACAACTCGGAATTACATTAGTAGGATGACGGGGACCGACGAGGAATTGAAGGAAGCTGCTGAAATGGATCACCATCATTTCGTCAAAACTCTGTCAGCTTTTAGGTTTTTTGGGTATGATTTGATGCACATATTTCACAATTGTATGCAGTCCACATCTTCTTAAAAGAGTCGAACGCTCGCGAGCTTATTATTACTCGTTACCGTCTACTCACCATAAACTTATTCGTGAATTTGATGATAACCTCAAAAAGGTTGAGGAATGCATCCTGCACAACAATGATTTAATAGCCAGCATTATTAAACATTCCGCTCCAGACATTTTCAACGGGGAACATGTAAGTTGACTGTGATTAACGTTAATTTTGTTATCAAGGCTTGTGAGTTGAATGGCACAGTTGGTTCATCAAACGGAACAGATTTAGATAACAGTCACGCGGTCGGTCCCCGGGAAAAAATTGGTCCTTTTGCATTTACAAATACAGAAATGGATAAAGTTCGATCAGCTTTAAAACAATTTGTAAGAGATTGGTCGGTTGAAGGAAAACCAGAGCGGGATATATGTTATCAATTTGTACTTAATGATGTTTTGGAACTGTTTAACCCAAAGAAAGTGTAAGTTTGCAACCAACAATTATATTTTTATTATTTTAAGTAATTATAAACTTTCAAACCATGCAATTTTGAAGTGGAAGATTTGAATTTTATTTCAGTGCGAAAATCTTGTTAAGTATATTGACATGACCTTATTTTCGCCAACTACAGTTCATTCCAAATATTACAAGTTCCTTCTAGTTGTCAGTGAATGTAGATACTCGCGGAAATAGCTGTTAACTATGTTTGCTAAACTTGTAGAACGTAGTATGTAGGGCACTACGGAATAAGTACAAATATCTATTATATTCAAAGGTTGATAATCACGAGATGCCATATTCTTCCAGGTGAAACATTTGCAAAAAATGATAGAAATAATCTAAACGCCATTTCTAAACCATCTTGTTTGCTTTGTTGGTTACTATCACTACGGGTATTTCCAGTGTTAAAGATTGAGTCATATGTACAGTGGATTTTGTTGCTCTATGTCCAGTAATGTAGGCTGCAGTGCACCAATTAAAGTACGGCTTTCAACCAGCCATTCTCAGAACCCGGCGTCACCCAATAGTTCGAATACCTGGTTGGTATAATAAACCTCTGCGTAAATTGTGTGGCTCAAGACCGAGCACATAAACCAGCACATGTTAATTTAGCCACGCTATTGTTAACCGCCCAGGTTTTTAGAATGAATCTCCCAATCCTAAAGAACTAGGTTTCACAACGATAGGACGGCCAGTTTTGTTCATGTAGAGGTCTTTAACGTTTTCAAGTTACAAATACAGCGTGCTTTAGTGTATTATATACGCGTAATGCTTATTTACTAACTAATTTCTCTCGGTTTATCCAATTTTCTTACTAAAGCTGTCATTCTACCTGCGGGATTAGTGAACAAAATTCAACATGGTTAGTTTTGGTTATAAACAGAACTTTACCATACTGTTTCCATTGTTTTAGAAATCCTGCAAATGTCAACATCCTAGTCCCAGGGGCTGGCCTTGGTCGATTGGCTTGGGAACTTGCTCATCTTGGGTACACATGCCAAGGAAATGAATGGAGCTTGTATATGCTTATTCCAGCTTATTTTATTCTAAACACGTATGTTACTAAGCATATATTTATTTTGACCAGCATTATTTTATTTCATAATTTATTGCAAAATAACATCTTACAGTCGAATGTATAAGGTAGTATAAGGTTAGTCGGTCTAAATGTTTGTTAGTAAATGTAGTGGTACCTGATAATTTGAATATTTTCTTCAAATTCTGATCTTATTATTAAGTTTTATTAAAAAATTAGGTGAGATCATATTATACCATCTGTGTGAATGGAAGTGGATAGGTAATCAGACTTAAACTCTGATTTATTATTCAAGGACTTTCAACATTGCAATTTAGCATATTTTATGCTGTCCAGGAGGCTGATAATATCATTTTTCTAAAAGAAATAGTTGGAAGATTCTCATCATCCCTAGTCCTTTTCCAACCCCATTATTCCTTATTTCCAGTAATGATTGCTACTTTGCGTTTATCTATTTTCTTAATCATCACTAACGTTTCTGTTTCGAAATTCACTGCTAAATTCTCAACGTGGTTGTTTTAAAGGTTGAAGTTCTCGATCTTCATTTATAAAGCGTATTTCAGTATCCAAAATCCGAATTGCAACTCAGGAATGTGTCCTGTGTTTGCAACACACTGATGCAAAGTCTAAGTGTAACTAATTATTGTAACCAGTTAATCGCAACTTACTAAAGGGGTTTTCCGAAAATTTAGTTATCAGTTTCACGGACTAAGTCCATTTGACGACAACGGAAAATCTAAGAACAAAATGTTACATTTTTAAAAATTGATTCTAAGTTGTTCTACTGTTCAATAAAACAACAGTAGATATTTGAAGCTGTAGCGCGATTGTCCACTTCTTACTTTCTGCTCATATAATCCTTGGCTGTATTTCAGATGAAATCCACCGTGTTTTCCAACTAACTATGCTATACCTAATCGAAAATGTCAAACATGCAAATGTGGTCACTGACTTGAAATGTTAGCTGAGAGGTGATGGCCTTTGTTAATGTTCAAGACAATCAGTTTTCAACCGAATAGTTATAGGTTTAAACCTCGGCACCTGATTGCATCAGGTATTATAAGTCGTCTTACGCTAAAAATGGTGTAACTTAAAACCAAATGTATGTAGACCTGTATGAGTTATGCTTAAATCATATGATTCAATATTCATCAATAGTGAGCATCGAGGCGAATACAAACGGGCATTTGAAGGTTTCTTTCGAAAATTTAACTTTTCAAATCAATATCTCTGATATTCCTCCAATTTCGGTGTGTAGTAGATGGTTTTAAGGCTTAATTGAATGGTCTACTCAGTTTGTGATTGTTAAGATAGTGATTAAAATTCTTATCAATCGATCGTGTGAAATGATATTACTTTTCCTGATTAATGACTCACCATACTGAGTTACTAAAACAAGCCTGCAAACCGTTGAGCGGAATAAGTTTCCTTATGTAGTATAATGGCCTGGTACGGTCGAGAGTGGGGAGAGTCAGCTCACTGTCGAAATGCTCTCAAGTGGACACGTATATACAACCACTGCCAGGCAAGTCCTACTCACTGCCTTCTCGCGATATTACTGCTGTTCACGAAATCGAGAGGACGAATAGCGAATGTCCGCCACTTTAACAGGGTTAGTAGGCACGGAGACTCCACATATAGGAGTTGGAATGCCTTCATTCCAAACTAATCATGCACATGTGCTCCATGATCCTGAAGGAACAAATGGTGTATGAACCAATCGTCGTTCACCGACTACCATGGGACTGCATCTCCTGACGTTGCTCAACTACCTTATGGATTAGACATTTATGTCGAAGGCCCGGGGTGCGGCCTCTTAAGAAACCACCTGTTTCGATTTGGGCACCCGGACAGTATCTCAGCCCTCACACAAATCGAATGATTTATGTTGTGCATATCTATTTTGTGCCTCCTTGTACCAGTGTTTATATGGTTAAATAAAATAACCTATTGCTTCTGGTTTCACATTATCTACGGATTACTAAGTGGTCTTTGTATTTGCAAACTTTCATATTGATTTTCCTACATTTTCAGATGCAAACAAGTTAATGAGTATAAATTATATCCATGGATCGGTCAATTTTGTAATAATATGTCGCGTGAAGATCAAATAACCCCGGTTCATTTCCCTGATGTATGTCCAGCAGATTTACCTTCTAATGTTCAATTTTCTATGGCAGCTGGAGATTTCGTTGAAATTTATACTGATCCAAGTATGTGTGTTTTTGTTTGTTAGTGTATACTGATACATGAAATTGCTCTAATTATAATTGTCCTTCTTTGCAAAAGTAAACAAAAGAAGAAACAACACTGATACCAGAATATAATAAATTCATTGTAGTCCGTTGTTTTCCCTTCAGTTACATACAAGTTGATATGCTTAGTTATTTCGAATTATCAACATAGATTACCAAACAGCACGAAACTTATTGACTACTTCCAACCACCATCCTATCTCAACATAATGCACACAATGTCGAGTCTCCTAGAATAGTGGCCACATTGCAAATTGATCGATAGAATGTGGTCTGCACTAAGAAGGACCTGATACACATGACATTGATCACTATTCAGTGTTCAGTCAACTATAGACAGCATAGTTTACAATTTGAAGAAAGGAACTGTTCATAAAGATTATTTTGTTTAGAATATAAATGAAATTGTAGTCTAAGTTTATAATAGGGTTTTTGTGAATGTTTAGAGTGATTATTTTAAAAATTTATTATTTTAGAAAATTAACATCTTAATTCAAGACTTTTGGTAGTATTGTGTTTTCTGAGGTATATAGTTTAATTGTGGATTCTTTATTGTCGTTCTGGACAACATCAGCGCCTAATTCATATATAGTTATTCCACATGTGTTTTATTAATCTGTCATGACAGCCTTGTTTGTGATTGATAGTTTTCTTAGATTTTGTTGTCTTCATTTGTCCTTTCATTCATGTCAGCTGTTCTGTTCGGTTACCGTTTAACCTTAAGATTTATTAAACTCTCCCGTATAGGTCAATGGATTAGATTTGTATCGATGCGTGTATTGATTGCTCATTGGTTTGAATGTAATGCTTCGATGGAATTTATATCCAAGGTTATTGACGTACAGTGATATCAATGATTACATATCATTTTGATAGTGTTTCAGTTCTTTAGATACCTTTTGATGAAGTTGCCGAGTAGTGATTCTTACGGAAGACGGATAAAGGATGAATGTTTTTCAACTTTTTGTGTACCAAGAGTACTTCATTGGGTTGTCGCCCTTCTGAATAGTGTGTGTTTAATAACCTCTTTATGTTTTGTTGCATTGTTACTGTTGTAGGTTAACATTTGACCTTTGAAGTCCTGCTTCCTGTACCACTTGTGTTAGAAAATGTTTAAGATAGTATCTCTTACGTCGCATAACAAAATTTGGGGCGTTAAGGAAGGCAATATTTGAGTTGAACTTACTAGAATATGATTATAGTTAACGGGGAAGTATTAGAAATGCCCAAACTATTTCTTTTATCAAGTCAGATAAAGGTTACAAACTACCGACTCTGACTGTGAAACGTGGCATTTTGAAAATAGAGTATATTCATGGGCTGCTGGTATTCATTCTCACGTCTTCAAATAAATTTTTTGAAACATCAAGTTAGAAATTCTAAGGTTATACGCATAGTGCTACGTTGGTATGGCAAACCGATTGACGAGATAGTGGATCATTATCGACTGAGGTACCTAGGACATGTATTACATATGGCCATCCACCGACTACCTCGACGGGCAATGATGACTGATGTAGAAGTTGTTTGCAGGAAAAATAGGGGCGGCCAAACCAAGATGTGGGATCAGTCTTTGGAGTCAGCGACTGTTGGACTAAGGCATATAGGTAGGTAGAGACCACCTGACTGGGGTCCGTGTGATTATCGTAGCCAATGCCTAAAGAGTGAATGACATGGCTCAGAGTCGTTCACTGTAGCTTAGGTGCGTTCACACTTTGTTTTCCCTTAAACCCTAAGTATTAAACTCTACAAATACTTTTTATTTCACTAAATTTATATTTTCTCGAATAGTTTGTTCGATGTCTAATCTTTTCTGTTACCACATCTACTACTTTTGGATTTGCCGTGACAGTGTTATCTTAATGTTTTAATAGGATATATCAACTCGAATGAATGTAGGCATGTGCTAGGTTCTGTATTGTATTTCACTGACTAAGTATTCTTTAACCCTGACCTCAAACAGTTACAAAAACCCCTTTTATAACTTTAAATTCTAGTTTGATTTATCTTTCAAATAAATTACTCTTTATGAACAATTCTTTCCTTTAAATTGCAAGTTATTTTGATCATTCAAAATGACTAAACATATTCACTTTTATGTAGTTGAAAGGAAAACAACAAACTATAATCAATTTTTTTATCCTCTATTAAATATCCCTGTTGTTTTGTTTGAACAACTTCTATATCGTCTATCGTTAGTTTGTGTTGTATTGTACAGTGATGATCTCACTTTCGATGATGAGTGGTATAGGTATTACATGCTGATTTTTACTCGTTTAGTAAAATCCATCTTCGTAACTGTCTCTTTAAACAGAATTGGCATAGCACTGATAAGTTGGATGATGATTAACTAAGTTTCATATAAAGGGGCACCTCTTCTAGAAACCAGTTAAGAACCACACACTGTCTTAGTCTTTTAAACTGACGTCATTCCAATTTTGAATTATTTAACGAACATTTTATTTCTAAGTATTTATTTATTTGTTTAAACACATAAACATTAGTACAAGGAGGCACAAAATAGATATGCACAACATAAATCATTCGATATGTGTGAGCGCTAAGATGCTGCCCGGGTGCCCAAACCGAAACAGGTGGTTTTCTTTGGAGGCCACACCCTGAGCCTTTAACATAAAGGTCTAATCCATAAGGTAGTTGAGCAACGTCAGGAGATGCAGTCCCATGGTAGTCGGTGAACGACGATTGGTTCATACACCATTTGTTCCTTCAGGATCATGGAGCACATGTGCATGATTAGTTTGGAATGGAGGCATTCCAACTCCTATATGTGGAGTCTCCGTGCCTACTAACCCTGTTAAAGTGGCGGACATTCGCTATTCGTCCTCTCGATTTCGTGAACAGCAGTAATATCGCGAGAAGGCAGTGAGTTGGACTTGCCTGGCAGTGGTTGTGTGTACGTGGCCATGTGAGAACATTTCGAGAGGGAGAGCTAACTCTCCCCACTCTCGGCCATACCAGGGCATTCTTTGGCTTTGTTTCTAAGTCAATAAACTAAGTCTTTTTAAACAGTATCATTATGAGAACAATTTATTCTACCTCCCGTCCTTCTGTCCACTTCATTCTGAAATCATTAATGCTTATTGGTTTTGTGCTTAATTTTTTTTCCTGATTTAAACACAGATACATGGGATTGTATAGCCACTGTGTTTTTCATTGACACAGCACATAATATTCTTAGTTATTTGGATACAATTTGGCGTATACTTAAACCTGGCGGTTATTGGATCAATTTTGGTATGTATAAGTTAATCCATTACAAAGATATTCATTTATTAGATATACAAGTTTTTATGTAATCAGTTGGCTTTTAACGAGACACGTGTGTTTGTTGGAAAGCCTAATAATTCTGCCCAACATCCCCTTAAAATATCATAAGTACGGTATGGCACGGGCCTGAGAACATACGATGATTGGCTAATCGAGTTATTATTATTATTTCACCAATTTTTATATTGTTTAGTCACCCCTCTCTACTTATTAAATTTCTAGTTTGAAGAAGTTTGACCAGTAGTCTAAGTGACCTAATATGGTTCGTGTTATTTCCTTGTTACTAAGGGCTTAGAGACAGTCAAAACAAGAGGCTTTGAATAATTCACATTTTATCCTGAATTATCTCTTTGTAGTACAGGTGTATCCAATCTTTGTGTTCTTCTAAATTCTAATTCTCTGAATTGTTCGTGTCCATTTTTTCTCTTTTCAAATTTATTTTATTGGATTATACTCCTTGAATTACATCTTCGAACCCTAATCTTACCTCTATCACTATGGGATTTGAATCGACAATTGTATCTGTGTGCTAATGTGGTATGGTAACTCGAACTGATGTGCGTACGTACGAAGTTCTACGTTGTTGCTGACTGACTGATATTTTTTTGTAAATTCGGCTAGTCAGAAATACCTGTTATTTGATATATCTTGCCTGTCTTTAAAAAAATGTAGAACCTGGTACAGGTAATCGTTAGCCATATTTTCTATTTTTCTTTTCACCACAGTGATTAGGAACCGCTATCATTTTAAGTATAGGAGAATGAATGATTGTGTCAGTTATAGTAGAAATATAAAAAAATATAAGTGTAAAATAATGAATGAAGTTGACGAATGAAAGTGAGTTATAGAATGATATTAAATTCAACGTTAAGAATCACATAGACGGTGAATCGTGCGTGTACCATTGCTGAACTCATCCTAAATCATTCTATTTAAAACCTGTAACTCGTGATTTACAGTTGTGGTGCACATAGATCTCAAACTGGAAGTAAATAACCTCTTCTAACATGTTCAGCATTACAATTCGGGTTTGATTATGACTGATCATACGTAACATGTCCTAATCACTTCAGTTGTTGAAGCTTCACAGGTAACTTCCTGCCTTTTCTGAGTAAAGTACATAGAGAAGCAACTCAACTAAGCAAATATTCTATTAACTTAGATATATAAGAATAGCAAAGCAGACTGTAAGGGTTATGTACCTAATTAATCAATTGTAAATTGATTAAGTTCTATGTTATATTCTGTTATGTTATCTTTCAATGAAATGCTTGTGTACTTGGCCACATATGTCGTTTTAAATATATAGTTTTAATAATGTTTAACAATTTGAGTTCTATTAGCTGAAAACCGGATAGTAGCATTAACCTCCATATTCAAGTACTCGGTGAATAAGCATTTTTTTGTGTGTTGATCGTCACTGATTATCACCATTGCACTCGTCTGGAAAGTTATAAATAAAACGAAATGCCTCGTGCTCTGAATTTCACTACTAATTACAAACATTATCGAGGTACTTGCCCAAAGTTAGTTTGTATGTCAACTAAAAGTGATTAAATTTAGTTCTGAATATTAACGATAGAAAAATATAAACCTTTACTATAATAAAGCACAGGCTAATATACCTAGCCAGATTTGCAGGTCGCATTTGCTACAGACTAATGTCAACTGTAGTTTCATTTAAAGCCATGGAACATTAAAGACATTTCGTCCTAGTAACGAGATCCCTTAATAGTCCCCATCTTCACTGATTAAGTCCAAGACCAGGCCTAGCAGAAAATCCCTAATCATTGGAACTACTGGATTGTCCAATTACATTATATGATCATCACTTTATTTCACAAATCGATTACAGTCTGGATCATACAATTAGACGTTCACCCATTGGTTCTAGTGTTTGGAGATTTGCCGCATGACGTAAAGGTTTTGAATTCAACTCCATTTGTGGAGTCAAAAGTTCCCACATGTGAGCAGTTTGATACTAGAATAAAACACCTGTTTTATGTCTTGTAGTTTTCAGTGATACTCCACGACCAATATGTGATAAATACAATCTATAAGTTAAACCATTCCCACAAAACCTGTTCAACCAGAATTTAAGATAGGTTGTTTTTAATAAGGACTAGTGACATTGATAAAGTCTTTCGAACTTTGCCATGTTTGAAGAGATTGTAAGATCCTCTAAAATCGGCAAACGGAATGAAGGATCAGCAACACAACAACAAGATTAGCTAAACTACTCACTGTGCCCCGGCTCTGTCAACTAGAAGGTGAAAACCAGAATCACCCGAGGGAAAAGCATATTCTACAAGCAGTTGGAAACACGGATGAACAGGCACACAACTCAAGTACATATATACAGTATAAAAATGTCATTGGGGAATATCATGAAATAGCGTATTAAAAGAGGAAACAGACCAACGACATTTTGAGTCCTTCCAAGTGGGAAATACAAAATAAAGGTAAAAGTGAGCGCCTTTTGGCACGAAAATTGAAAGTTCAAATTTCCGAGATTAAGCATCCTCGAAAAGCTTAATTAGCTTAGAGCTAAAGTTTTTGAACTTACAATTTACTTGTTGAAAACTAAGCGTTTTAACTATTAAATTATCAGTTCTTTGCATATACTACTTATATCCACATAAGTAGTATATAACGATAGTCAGACAGAATGTATTTCAGTAGAAGATCAAGAGGGAAAGAACGGGAACGGAGAGAAATTAGTATGAAAATGCATAAACAATGAAATTTGAGACGACGAAATGAGATTTGCAAATTAACTATTTACTGTATGGTTCTCAGATTTCATTGAGATGTTTTTGTAATTTTATGCTCAAATACATTCAGTTGTCCTCATTTGTGTTTTTGTTCACTACTATAATAATCATGAATATTCTGAACAGTACATACCTATGTTTTTGTGTAATCATTCTATGTAATTCCTTGTTTTTGTATAATATTTATATCATTTTATATTTTAGGTCCATTATTATATCATTTCTCTGATATACCTGGTGAAGATTCTTTAGAATTAAGTTATACAGAACTTCGTTTAGCTATTAAACGATTAGGTTTTGAAATTGTGGTAAGATATAATTTAGTTTTTTATAATGATGTAATAATATAATTATAACTAAGTTGATTGGTTTTTGTGATTTTGTTCGATATTTATATGTAACGATTCATTATGTTTGTTATAGTTTACATCACAGACTAACTATTCAGACAGTTATTGAAAAGTAGGAGATATTGGACAATTATTTGGTTCAAGTGTGGAATCCCTCAGCAATGAGGATCCATGACTATGTCAGGAATCAAACCCCAAACTGTCAGACCTCACTTCAAGCGCTTAACCTTAAGGTAACCGTATAAGCCATTGACTGGTAACTTAGTGGTCCGGAGATTAATTGCTCTCTTTCTCTCTTGGTCTTATGATCCTGGATTCGATCCATAAAGAGATAACTATCCAATACCATTTGGTTTCTCATGGTTGTTCAACATTAGTCTGTGATATAAAATCACAAAATTCTGCAACCTCCACAACCATCCTATACTAATATTCATTATGTGTAGAATATTTTTTTGAAATATGTAAGTTAGTTCAATGCATCGGAAAGCTGACAAACTGTCATTGAATTTACTTAGTCTAAATTTCCAGTGGCAATCAAATGAGCGAAAAAATATTATTATTGGACATCTTCAGAGGTGTTGGTCATTTTCACATTCGAGTTTTTTTCACATTTGTGCACCGTGGTACGTTCCCCAAATGCCCTGGTACGGCCGAGAGTGGGAAGAGTTAGCTCTCCCACTCAAAATGCTCTCAAGTGGACACGTATATACAACCACTGTCAGGAAAGTCCTACTCACTGCCTTCTCGTGGCACCGGTGTTGTTTACAAAATTGAGAGGACGAAAAGCGAATATCAACTCGGGAATGCAGTACATGCAGTTGACGAATTCCAAATAGAACGAAATGCGCGTCAAACTGGATTCCACTGCTAGCCACTATCCATCTTTGCTTAAAAAGCTTGTGATCTAAGGCTATATCGAGGCAATTTGCAGATGATACCAACATGAAACTGATCAGTTTCAGTTTTAAAGACATCAATGGGAAAATACAAGTAAAAGAACACCAAGTGAATTTAAACTTCACCTCATTGCACAAGCAGGTAGCTATCAGGACTCAGTAGCTAAGTGGATAACGCGTTGGCGTTTAAAGCAAACGGTACTAGATTTGAGTCCTGGAGTGAACATCAACTCTAGGATACAGGTAAATCTAGTTGTCGAGTCTCATATAGGACGAAACGCACTTTCTTCTTTCCACTGCTAGCTACTATCCATCTTTATTTATAATAATGTTTATTCTGTTTTGATAATCATTTATTCTCATTATCTTTTTTCTTTAAAATTATTTTATTATAAAATTTAGCGTGAAAAATCTAATATTCAATGTGGTTATACACAAAATTCATCATCAATGCTATCATATAATTATAATTGTGTATATGGTTTATTTCGTAAACCATTTATAACAACAATATCACCAACAACTGAAACGAATGTAACAAAATTAATGTCAACATTGAATACCACTACTTCAACTATCAATGATATGAAATAATTACACAGTTTTATATAACAAACCCTGCCAATCAAAGTATTCTTATTATAAGCAAGTGATTGTTTTGGTGTTCATTTCAAGGTGTTCAAGATTTGACAATAAACATTTATTATTATTTTTTATAGGTTTTTAACTTTGCAATCGTTCTTCTTTTTTTTCTTCTTTTAAAATGGTATTACATAACTCATTGGATCCACTTTATCCATTGTATTCTTATCTGAGTTAATAAGCATTCAATACAGTATATGAAAGTGTTGTAGTGCCTTTGTTTAAATGATTAGACTGTTGTGTATTTGAACAACAACGATTAATTATCATTCATCTTTGATCGATGTATTTTGATTATAAAGTATATATACAAATGTATAAGATTGTTCTTATCTTTATATCATGATTGTTTATTGAAAATAATGTTGAGTTATAAAATATAATGTGAATACGTTGTCAATTATAAGGTTGTGAAGATCATGCGAGCGGTATCGTGGATGCACATTACTGAGAAATCCTACAATAGAATGAAATGGCCATTCAGTGCTTTTAGGTTTGCAATAGTGATCTCTAACATCAATCGATTTATGATCTCAATTGCCTATGTTGTCAACATTAAACAAAATTCTTGAATAATATACGATTAAAATATAAAATGACAATGTGAACTGAAATAGTAAATGCAGGTATGCCGAAAACATAATGAAGTTATTAGAAATATCGAATAATCGAAAAACTATCTGATAAACATTGTTGGAAGATTTCTAAATTATTTTACACCATAACATTTTTTCAAACAATAAAACCGACAAAATCATAAAAGTGAGCTGTAAACAATTACGATAGACGAGATGTATCACCTACTAATAGGTTGAGGTATAAACAAAATGCTGGTGAGTTGTTGGTCTGTCAGGAATCCATGGGGATAGAATGTTTACAGGTGTGTGTGCATGGAGCAACTCATACTATGATGTCTGTATGTGAATGATGGGGTTCTTGTTGGTGATTTCGAAATCGCCTGCGACCGCCGAGAGTCGAACCCGGATCGACTGCTTGGAAGGCAGCCATGATAGCCACTACACCACGGTCGCGACTCTTTCTACACCTCACACTGAATCCGCAACTACAACTAAAACAACAAACACCCACTCGCAAACAAATCATGCATGCATTCACGCACACACACACACACACTATATCATTCACTCCGAAAACAATCACCAACCCTACCTCTCCAACTGTGTCCGATCATCTCCGACTGTCTCGAACTAACTGTCACACAGCACCGACAGACACCACCACCTACAACGTGCCAACATCAGCAATATCGTCAACACTATGCACTATGTGTCCATCTGAAATACACCACATCACAACTTTGCCTGACCAAACTACACAAAGCACAATTTTTCACGTGCACTCTCCCCATCGACACCAACACGTGAATTATCCGGTCAGACGCATTCTATTGGACGAGCAATCGAGGTGAAAATATCTACAGATGAATGTCGCAATAATCGGCAAGACATGTGAGTTGGTGATCGGACGGAAACTCGCTGTTCGTCTACCGCATCGTCAACAAAGCACAGTATCGAATTGAGAAGCACACTGACTATCGTTGTGAGCAATCACACAATCAGTCGGTTCTATCCTCACCTGTCTTACACACTGGTTCTAGTGTACCGCTCCATATGTGTCCCGGTGTGGCTTTGTGTGTAGTGCACATGTAGTCCTCCAATCCACACACAATCGCCTCATCATCGTGTGTGCATACATGCTTGCAAACATGATTGTGCACATGATCCACCCATTCACTGAACGTCACTCAGAATCCTGTGTGTTCACTCGAGTCAGTGGCGATCCACACGTCAGTCTGTTTGTCTCTTGAAATATCGTTTCAATTGTCGTCAACTTGTCAATCCGAGATAAGATATCTGAGTCGCAAGCACTTTCAACGTGCTTGTGTGATTGGATGGGAGAGGATGAGAGAATGCACATGCGAGTGGGAGGTGGAGAGAATGAATGAAGCGATTTGTGTTTGTTTCCATCTGAGATTGTGATGTGACATGTGGTTGTTTCTGAGTGAGTACACGGTGTTCGGCCAAATGTGAGTTTGTGATTTGAGGTGGTGGTGTATGGAGGAGGTGGAGTTTGAGGAAGAGAGGAGTTTATGAGTGAGTAGTTGATTTTGAAGGAATCATAATGAAGCTTGATTGGTGCATCAGTTGGGTGATCTGTCGTAGTGGGTAGACGAAAGTGTGTTTATGCTGTGATACGAGTCGGCCACACTGGTGTGTCGTGGCGTTTCGGACAGTCGATGTTGAGGTGTGGAGACAATGATGTCGAGTTGTTTGTCTGTCCGGACTACGTGGGAGCAGAGTGTGTTGTCTTGAGTGTGTAGTGGCTGTGCTTCGTTAATTAATCTCCCTCGAACCGTTATCGTATAATCTTCAACGATGTTTCAAATCAGAAGGCAAAAAGAAGGAGCTACTACAGTTTATTTAGTAGATAATTCGGACCAGACAGCAGAGAGGCAAAATGAATGAGCAAGCGAACTACGATTGTAGCAGTAGCAAGTAGTATTAGTGGTAGTAGTTGTAGTTGTAGTAGTGAATGGGTGCAAATGTACACATATATATATATGTATAGGAAAATGGATGAGTCAGCGAATAGATTAAGCAGTTAATAATGAAGCTAGCAGAATGAATACATGCGTAGGCGCTAAACAATGTTCAAGCATATGTATTTCATACAAGCATAATAATATAGTACAACAAGTTGTTATATCATGGATGACTTTGTCCATTAAATAGGTCAACAAAAGACATTGACTGAACTAAACTCGATTGCACGTGTGTCACTATAATAGCTCCCCCCTGCAAACAAAGATATATGGAAAAATGCCTGTGTTTGCACACAAAAGTAGTAAACTGAGTAGGGTAGTTACAATTGTTTGAAAAAAAATGGTTTGTACAAAATTAAGATGAAGTTAGTGTGTACTGTACATTTGGTTTGCGCCCGTCCGTGAGGTTTTAAAAAATAATAGCAATAAATAGAAGGAATGTTGTATTGCTTTACATTTTAAATAAAAATTATACGTGTAAGTGTAGGGGTACATAAGATGTTGAGTTTTATAGCGTATAACATGAAATTAGTAATGCATGTGTGTACAATGAAGTGGAAGTTATAATTAATATTTAAAATAGTAGATTATTAATAGAAGACTGCAGCGACATAACGTTGGGGCCATCTTACCCTTCTACCAGACTTTGTGGTTACTGGATTCTCTTTGTTTGTGTTCGTCGATGTCGTTGATGATTGGAACTGACGCTTCGATGATTCAACGGTTTTCGCAGTATCTGTATGTACTGGCTGATCGTAGGCTTCGATGAAAGCTGGTTTGACTCGGTCGATGTTAATTACATCCGTTTTTCCAGCTTTTTCTACCGTGATAGTTTTGTCGTCTCTTTTAATCACCTTAAATGGACCATCGTAGGCCGGTTTTAAGGGACGTTGCACATTATCCCTTCTGATAAACACATGAGTACTGTCACTTAGTTGTTTGGGTATGTACACACGGCGTTGATGTCTCGGAAGCGTTATCCTTAGACTACTCATATGCTGCTTAAGACGCTGTACATAGTCCGCTATATCAGTTGGAACGCTTTTACCTGCAGTGAAAAACTCTCCTGGCAGACGTAGTGTGGTTCCATAAACCAACTCTGCTGGGCAGCATTCTATATCTTGTTTGATTGTTGATCTTAAGCTCAACATGACTAACGGTAGCTTGCTGGCCCAATCATTATTGCTGATGACAGCTGTAAGAGAAGCTTTAAGTTGCCGATGCAATCTCTCTACCATACCATTCGACATCGGATGGTAGGATGTTGTGCGAATTCGTTTGATTCCGAGTAGTTCTGTGAGTTGTTGGAAGAGGCGGCTCTCGAATTGAGCTCCTCTATCGGTTGTAATATTAGTAGGTACACCATAATGGGAAATCCAATGCTCTACTAGGGTTTTTGCGATAGTTTCGGCTGTAATATCTTTTATGGGCACAGCTACAGGCCATCGTGTGAATCTATCAATGCAAGTGAAAATGTAACTGAAGCCATTCGAAACCGGCAGTGGTCTTATAATATCGATATGTACGTGCTCGAGATGACGGAAATGACCTACTGCGGAACTGGTGTGGCGATGTATCTTAACTCTCTGGCATTTTATACACGCTTGCGTCCAATTACGAATATCCCGATTCATACTTGGCCATACAAAACGTTCGCTGATTAGTTTGATGGTGGCCTTTATTCCGGGATGCGAAATATTGTGCATGGCCTCGAAAATGTTTCGCCTTAGCGGCTTTGGAATAAATGGTCTTGGTTGACCTGTAGAAATATCGCAGATGATGCTTACTTCTTCCAATGGAGTTTCTTTGAGAACTAACGAGGTTGTATTGGTAGACTTTAGTTTGTTTAACTCGACGTCGATATTTTGTAATGCTGCTAACTTGTGATAATCGATTTCGGACTGGACGAGAGCGTTGACCATCGTTCTGGATAACGCGTCTGCCACTTCGTTACTATTACCTTTGATATACTGTATGTTGGACGTGAATTGGGAAATAAATTCTAATTGTCGGATTTCCCTCGGCGAGTAGTTGTCCTGTTTGGCGTTCAATGCTTTTGTGAGGGGTTTATGGTCTGTATATACTGTGAAAATGGTACCCTCAATCATATGTCGGAAATGTTTTATTGCCAAGTAAATCGCTAGGAGTTCTCTTCCGAAAGTACTATATCTTGTTTGTGTCGGATTCAGTCTTTTCGAAAAAAATGAGAGCGGTTCCCATATGCCATTTACTAATTGTTGTAAAACGGCTCCTACCGCTACGTCTGATGCATCCGTCATGATAGCTAACGGTGTTTCGCTCTTTCGTCTAGTTAGTGTCACTTCTTTATTTAGTGCTTTTTTAGCGTTCTCGAATGCTTGGATCGCGTCTGGTGATAATTGGAATGTCC